TTATAAATCTCCTAACTGTGATATTTTCAGAAATGGAAGTCAAGTTTTTTTTTTTTTTCATCTGAAACGTGCTGCGATTTATATTCCAAAGCCACTCATATAATGCAGAAACACTCAAGCAAGCAAAACACGCGATACAGCATACACTTATTTGTACTGGTGTAGAAGGAGAGAGACAAGTAGTACAGCCTAGCGCCCTCCCTACCATTAAGTAACTTGTGCATTGTTTTATCTTACTTGTTTTTGACATATCCGACCGTACTACAAACTTTCCAGTGATGTCTGTGAGAAAGGGATATTATCATGTGCGCCGCCGCGCGCTCAACCCACTCTGCGTGCTTTGCTTATCAGCTCGCACACGTCAGTTATACAGGTGTTAATACTGAATTTTAACATTATATTCATTGCATACATATACTTCGTAGACATCCTTAATCTCTAATAACTCCATTCTGCTGTCTGTTGTCGGTGTTTCTTTGTCTGAATACAGCACTTATCGCATGCTGTGTGGTACCGGCGTTTGGTATCGGGGCATTTTAACGAGTACTAGTACGAGTACAGGAGCTCAGTATCGGGCCCGATACCAATACCAGTATCAGTGCATCCCTAATTTTTATATTAGGCCTATAGCATGGTGTATTTTTATTTGGTTTGTTAACAAATGTTCTGTGTTTAATATAAGTGCATCTGTCGTTGTACCATTTGGTTGTATCCATTCAAGCAAATGACGCCGAATTGACACCAATTTCGAAAATAAAATGTTCACAGACATTTATAAGTTAATTAAAAGGAATGCGAGGAAAAGCGGGAAAACCACAACGAACCCCACCCCCTGGTGATACCGGTATTACCGGTGTTGTCACACGTCGATTAACCGGTGGAAAAATTTCCTCACCATCACAACTCTACATGAAACTAACTTCAGCTTGTCCCGGTCTTCTGCATATCATGTCACAGTTCAGGATGGTTGCTAGTGAAGGGTTTGGGACTGTGCATGTTTGTCAACTGAAGCAAATGCACTTTTGAAGGGAAAGGTCACTTACTGTGCAAGATGTCCAGACAGGACGTCCTTACAGATGGGCTGCTCAGCCAGCGTAAGCCAGAACTCACAGGCCTCCAGAGCCACATTCTCATCCGGGTCCTGTGTGCGCTGCAGCATGTACTACAGAAACAGTAAACATCATCAGCATCTCTGACTAGTTAAAATCTTCACCACTTCAGGGTCATCAAGACAGAGGCGGTTCATCTCACCTCTACGATACTGCGCATGTGAGGGATGAGTCGGTCCACTCGCACCTCCAGCAGCATGACCAGAGCCCTGCACACGTTCTTCCGCACCTCTGAGTCCTCATCTGCGGCCAGCGCAAACAGACTCTGGAAAAACAGCCAAGGCAGAAAACAGATTAAAATACTGCAGTTACAGCATAGCTATATTTGGACAGTAATGGTTTCTCAATGGGAGCTAAGGTAAGGTAAACATTTACAGGGGCTAGTCGGTGATTTTATTGCCATCCGAATCCAGAATGTTGGTGTTTTACTCCAACCACCAGTGTAAAAAGTCCCAGCCAAAATACCTACCGTTTTTTTTTTACACCAAGGTTGTACAGCATTTAATTGCCATTTGTGTGCCATTTACAAGAAGGGGATAATCCAAAAGTTTTGTAAATTGTTTTTTGACCACTGCCAAGAACTGTACAGTAACTGCTGCAATTCTTGGTAATGTGGAAACATTTTAAGTATGGACATCTATTACGGAAATGCTGGAAACTGCTTACAAGAATATCATGTCACTACTCCACTATAGTGAGTAGTAGCTTATTATTAAAAAAAAAAAAAAGTCTAAATCAAGTTAACTTTTGAAATGGGCCACTGTTAAGGTATGCAATAGTTTTCCAGTTAGGAAAATAGGATATTTAAATAATCAAATAATAAATAAGATATAATTTTCAAGTGTAATATTACATTAAATTTGAAATTATTAATTGCCCAAGCTAAATTTCAACATTTAAATGGACTGGTCAGTGACTTATTACAGCCCGAATCCATAAAGTCTGTGTTTTTCTCCCACATCCACGTAAAAATTCCCAGTCGATTTATCAACTATTTTATGACAAACACCAAGATTGTGTGGTAATTTACAGTCCGAATCCACATCGGTGAGTTTACAAGAAAGTAGGGCTGCACGATTATGACAAAAATCATAATTGTCGATTATTCCCTTGAAATAGTAATTGCTATTATTAATTACGATTATCACAATTTACATTGAATGATGTTTGTACCATTGTTTGATGCAACTGCATGCAGTATTTCTATATGAAAATAAACAACAACACTAACTGAAAAACCTTTAGTGCTTTTCTATAGTAATAAGTCTCAAATGTCAACCGGATTGGTTTCTTCTTTAAATTATAAAAAAGTAAAAATATGAATGGTATTATAATGTTATACTAAAACTAAAATTAAAATAATGGGAAAACCCCTTAAGATAACATCTTTTGCATCTTAAGCACGCAGAATAACAATAGTGGACTTTGAACGATTAATTGCCGCTTTGAATGATTACGTAATTGTGGCATCCATAATTGTAATCGCGATTAGAAATTCGGTTAATTGTGCAGCCCTACAAGAAAGGATCAATTCCAAATAAGAAGGGACAATTATTATTATTTTATTATTGTTTCTAAAAAATATTGCTTCAAGAAAAGAAAAAAAAAACATTTTTAAATAGACTATTACTGTGTGCAATAAATTTAAATATAATATACCAATAATATAAATAACTAATTTCAATAGTCGAAAAAGTAACCGAGTCAAACATTGACCTTACGTTTGTTTGTTTGCAAAGCCATTCCAGCTTCTGTGGCTATGTATGGCTAAATTATATCAGGTTTTTACAATTTATTTTTGCTTAAAACTCTAACACTGTATTTGGCTTAACTCTGTTAAAAAAATCTCTTCAAAAGAGTTAACTACATAAATAAAAGTTTACATTTATTTTAATAAGAGTTTGAGTTACCTTTTCACATTTTTTTTTTAAATATCCATTTTAAATTTTATTTTTAAAAATATCAAATAATAGGATATTTTTACATGTATTATTTATTACATTACACGTTATTAAATAAAATATGAATTTATTAACAGACATTTTGTTTGCAGATGACAATCATGTGATTGACAACTTGACCAGCCAGTTCTCGGGTTCATAGGATCACAGTTGACATTTGAATGTATGAGTTGTATGACTTGAGGTGCCATGCAAATTATTTATTCAATCCATCATGTTCAAACTGCAGGTACCTCAATAAAGGTGTCAATGTTGTCCATCAAGGCTTGTGCTCTTCCGATGATAAACTGGTTCACACAGGCAACAGCATGAGACCTAAAGACACACATGAACAACCATAAGATTCCAGAACAACTTAATGCAACATATGGAAAATAACTCCATCCATCCTCTCTCAGACTGACCTGATCTTGGGGCTGCAGTGTTTGAAGAACTGCAGGAACTTGGGAATCATGATGTTGAGGGGTCGGTTGAGAGCGTCACTGTCCAGAAGCTCCGATGAGTCCTCGCAGATCTTCTGTAAAGCTCCAAACGAGCCCTGCGTGCGAATGAGAACAAACTAAGATACAAGTCACACAACTCAGGAACATCTCTAGATATGAAAAAGAAAGCATCATGGCCACTTTGTCTGCATCTTGAATAATTTCCAAACACATTTTTGCATATGAAAATGTGCTCAAAATAGAAGGGGAAAAGCAGGATAAATGAGTGAGAGGACAAAGAAAGGTTTAAGTTAAGGCAGCTATGAAGAGCACAGAGGAAATGCACTGACCTCACAGGTGTTGTAGTCCTCTGAATCGAGCATGTTGCACAGCTGAGGCAGTAACTCTGGCCACGTCTGCAGCTCCCCTTTGGTGGAAATCGTTGTGATGAGGATACCTGAACACAGAGAGACGGGAATCAGCACATTTCCTCATATTGACTGCAAATATAAAATTGCTCTATTTGCATTTGTTTTTCCTCTGTCAAATTTTGTGTCGCCTCTGGCTTTCGACAAAACTCAGGCAGGCAGTCACATGCAAGCATCAGTGAACCATGTCCATTAGGGCTTTCAGTCCAAAGTGTGCATATTTGTAGAAATACTGATAGCTTTATTTACTGATATCTTTTTATCTTTCACATATTTTTATATTTCTTTAGACAGAATCATTTCTATTCATTTTCCACTGATTTATGCAATCTGACAAGCTTTAGCTGATTCTAGCGCTGTCTCAGTATGTTTTCTCTTCCGCGATCGCTGCTCTGACTCAGCGGAAGCTCAGGTCCAGTCTCTTCCGATCACAAGCTTCCATTTCACTTCCACATTCAGTTCTGTATACAACAAACCCAGAAAAACGTTTCTACACTCGAAACATGAAGCTAATATACGCATGATTACTATAGTATATGGTTTGTATGTGATTTTCATGAGTTCTGGGGTATTTTCATAACAATAAAGAATGTTTACATAAGAAATGCTAAGCTGGTGTAGCGATTAGTTTAGTAAAAAAGGCTACAAATAACTTATTTCGACAACATTATCCACCTAATTTTTCCCGTAAGAGTGAGTGTGGCCATTTGTAAATTGTATGGGTCTGGCTTCCGGTCTCATCCGCATCCAGCTACTATTAGCTGTACAAAACAGCTCGTTTTGCTGCTTGATATTGCAAACTGGTGTGTTTTACCACATTATTTTAATGTATTATCTTAATCATGAACACACTGGTTTGTAGTGCAAACTGTTCAAGAACAGTTAAATTCTTCTCGTTATTTCTCTACAGCGGCTAATGAACCGGAACGGAAGTCTTGCGCATTCACAGAAAGCGGCTTACTTCCGCATTGAAGAATAAGGTGGATATGACCAAAATCCACATTAGATTGCATTCGGAATTTGTTACAAACACTCGATCGTGATTTGAAGTGAGATTTGAGTAAAAGCATAGTATTAATTTTATAAATAGTCTTATGTAGCTTGATGCTAATGTTAGCTCTAATGCACCTGTTACCCTGCTGCGATTAAATTTCTTAATGTATTCTATCAGAAGAATTTGAATAAGGTTGTAAGAAAATGTTTTGTTTTCTATAAAGACACGTCATTATAAGTGGACAAAGAATTTGTGGACCAGGAGACTATAAGGAGTGGATGAAGATTTTCAATTATACATTATCAACAATGTTATGTTCACCTACACTGCAAAAGGGTCCCTTTTAGCTCTTATGTTGTATTTAATTCAATGTTTAACAGGTCTGTTTTGTTAAAATCTTACTTGATAATTGTCATTTTCTTCAATCATCTAATTATTTGAACACCTAAAATTCATCGAGTGTAAAAAGTGTTTGTTTCAGCCAGTTGAAGGGTGGGTTCAATGTGTGCACATGTTCAGGATGGTACCACCTATTCATTAAAGAATCCTAAAAAAAATGCTTCAGTTTCCACTAAAATATTAAGACCCGGGTATACTTTACTTTCCGCATTCTGTTCCGTCTCGGATGAGCGTTGATGTACGAGCTCGATACATGCGCAGTATCACCTACTTGACTCACTCCGTCTCAACATTCACATCTCGCCTGCGCTGTTGTATGCAGACCGTCCGCGCTGCCACAAGAAATGGGCGGCTAGCAGACGGTGTGCACGGACATCCGTGGACACTTCTGATGATGAAAATTGAATGGCGAGGACAGTGTGACGATGGCCGAAGTATACTTTGTGCTAGGCCTGGGCAATAAAACGGTATCGATATTTATCGACGGTACACCTTCTTCGATAACGATATAAAAAATGTTCGATTTAGTGCACGATATAGGCACGTGCTATGAGTGACGCAGACAGCACACACACAAACACATGCTGAAATGAGTGCTGTGCCTGTGATGAGGAGATTGTGAATAAAAAAAATTTATATTAGTCGAATTGAAAATTAACATTTGCATTTGAATGTTAGGAGTGCGTCAGGGAGCGTCATCAGTGGCGCGCGAGATGCGGTGATAATGATGTAAGTAAAGTTGTTGCATTTTAATGTTTTGTTAGTCTAGCCCACAAGACGCGCCGCTGCTGTGTTATGCATTCAAAATATTAGAGAAATATAGAAGCTCAATGCGGGGATGTTAGGTGTGCGTCAGGGAGCGTCATCAGTGGAGCACAAGATGCGGTGATGATGATGTAAGTGATGTTGTAGTTTAATGTTTTGTTAGTCTAGCCCACGAGACGCACCGCTGCTGCGTTATTCATTCAAAATATTAGAGAAATATAGAAGCTCAATGCGGAGAAGATCTTGATTAGGTTAAAACCGAAACCAAGCCATTCACACAGAACGCACATTCAGTGCATTTTTTAGACGGACAAATATGATTGCTGCACTCGCGTCTCACACAATCTAGCCATGCAAATTTAAAACAGTTTAAACTCTTAGAAAACCCATCACGAATTTGTGGAGGTTTATTCCTTTTCTCTGCGTCTCTTATGTTTTTAAAGGCAATCTGTGTGATGGGCGATTCGGCTCTT